GTGCTTTTGACATACTTTGGAATATTCTAGATCTGTTTACGTTTACGAGCTGATTTATGTCGCGCCAACTTAGAGTCATAAACTTGAAAACACTAGCTAATGTTTTCAAGTTTACTCGCGCATGCGTGCCATTGACAGTGTCCCTTTAACAACGAACCTATCAAATGATGAATGAGAGAACAAATGGATGTCATTGTTTTGACGATTGATTTCTTTTCATTTCAGGTGTTATTAGATATGTACCTCGTGATCTTGCCGGCAGAATTGACCTTGCAGGGTCAACAAACGAACCTATGGACACCCCAGAGGGTTTGTATGTCATGCGCAGTGCAGATCAACTGTGTTGTGAGGTCAAAGACAGTCGTGGATATCAGTTCACCGTCAAGTCTAATGGGGATACAGTGATCGACAAATCGTCCGCTAAAGAACAGCCTAGTAGTCCTGGAACAACTCTTGTCCCTCGATATTTTGTTGTTCACCAAGATGGGACTGGTTTCGAGCTCTTACGCCAGTCCGATGTCTGTGACTTTTTGTCCCGTGGTGAAAAAGACCCTGAAACTGCTGTGTTGAGGTCCCCAGTGGAAGGGCTCCATCAAGCAACGTGCGTCACATTATTAAAGCCATATTCAGGTGTGCATCATTGGGACTACATACTTTATTGTCAAAAGATATATTATAGGTCTGCAAAATAATTAGTCTTTCGTGTTTGTATATTTTGACCTAGAACGTTTAATGTAGAGGTACTGGGGTCTATTCCATATACAGCAATTCAGAAAACGTTGAATAGTGAATTCTGAATGCTGCATATTGCAATACCGCAATGCACGTTACCCTGCGTTGCAAAATAAAACTAAAAAAACTAACGAAACTCCTTTTGGACGGCAATAGAACGAGCAACAGTGCATTGCGGTCTTCGAATAACACTAAAAACACTTACCTAAAACCGAAAAGAATCTTTTCCATCTTGATAATGAGGATAAATAACACTGTTCTTTTTTTACTCGATGTCCATTGAATACAGGGGGAATAACAAACGTTTGGCTGATGGAAAAGGATGAGGGCATAATAGTCCCACAAGCTCTTAGGGAACGCGACTTTAAGGCATTCCCAGCTATAGAGGAAAAGCGTCCTGGTCCTACATTTGGCATCAATGTTGGTAAGAGGTCACATTTTTAGGAATTTATTAGAGCTTTTGTTGGATGGATGAGCAGTGGAATTTCTATCTTTAAACCAACGGTCCTTAAACCCACACTTCAACTCTTCAACTTAGATGAAAATCTCCCTTTACCCCTCCCTTCAATTCTCGCATAAAAGCCTTATTTCAGCTCACCTTCCAAGTCTCGCATCAAATCTCACTTCACCCCTCCCTTCAACTCTCCCATTCACGACATTCCATACTCAGGTTCAGTGACCATGAACAAAGCATTGAACCGATGCGCCAAGGAACACTGATTACAGATCTTTTCTTTTATGTTCACCGTACCCTTGATGCCTCGGTTCAATGGTTTGTTCGTGGTCACTGAGCCTGAGTATGGAAAGTCGTGAATCAAACCTCACTTYTCAAGCCACTGTTAATCCTCCCTTTACACCTTGTTGTAACGTTGAAATATCCATGTCAGGTGCCGGCCTTAATGTTGGTAGTGTTCAAAAGAAGCAAACCGAACCCACAATTACTTGCCCGAGAGCACTCGAAGTACGWCAGCTTATCCAGTACAAACCGCTGACCGACGAAAACAGACAAACTATCGTGAAGTGCATGAAAGAATACGGAGAATACRTTGCTAAGAGACAAGAAAAACTCGACTCCATTCTATCGCAGGATCCACGTGACGAGAGCGAAAAACTTCGCGCTGAGAAGCTTGAATCAAAGGTCAGAAGATGATTGAAGTTTAGACATGATTTTGAAAATARAATTTGTATGCAGCATGCATCGTCTGTAGTAAAAYACCATTCTTTACTTTTCATTTTAAGTATTACAACAGTTTTCTAATTCTGTATCATGTTTGATCAATTATCTATTTGAAGATGGCWGAAGACAAAGAAGGTTCCAAGCCTGACGATGGAGCCAACATCCAGCAACAAGAAGCTAACGAACCTCAAGAATCATCCGACACAATTCTTGATGCATTGAATAATGCGACCAGTATGTCATTCAAACATCAAATGCCTCGTTTTTCTAATATCATAATTACAAATATTGTTTTGTACGAAAGTCCAAATTCTTCATATATAATGAGTGTTGTGCTAAATCACGCACTATCCCCAGCTATSAGTTGTRCAAGACTAYCTGATCAGAAATTTCAACTCTTTTTCCTTTTTTTCACTTTTGTCCCTCGTGCTTAGGTCGCGTGCCGACACGTTTTCATAATATTGTTGAGAACAAGTTTTTGATGTCCATTAGAATGAARTCTTATTAYAATGGCRATGACWTTTTCGAGAACAATGCATTATGGGAAATGAAGTCTACGCTAACTACAATTAGGTTCCCTCTACATAAAAGACGAAACTACGTGCTTTTTTAAATAAAAGTATATGACAAGATAAACGACAGAAGCAAAGCACACGATATTTCATTGTGCATAAAACACTGGAAGGACTATATTTCCCGTAATGCTTTGAACACTATCGCTGCACACCGAATATTGGCTTAGCGTAAATATTTTTTGTCTTCAGCTGATCTGCAAGGAGATGGAGCAAGCCAAAAATACATAGAAGCAATCACACCCGCACCAGTCCCTGCTCCACCACCACCGCGCTGGAAACGATCCAATGAAGAATGGGAACGAGACAAGATTGAATTGGCCGAACTGGAGTATGGGAAACATRCCTTGAGGCACAAAGAAGTACCACCTTACTTTGATACGTCAGACGGTGAGTCACTGCAGGAATGGCATGATGGGAGTCTTAGGCAACGCACTTTTAATAGGCCCAAAAAATGGCGCCGCTGCACGTTGCCTACTGTTTAACGTTGTTGCACGTTGCCTACTGTTTAACGTTGTTGCACGTTGCCTACTGTTTAACGTTGTT